AGTTGGGAGGGCTGTTGCCCGGGCTGCTCCCCCAGGAGCATCTGACTGGTGTGCCAGCTCTAGCTCCCAGGACGTGACAAAGGAATGCCTGGCCCGTGCTTCTAGAGGGATGCACAGTGAGGAATTTCCCCCAACACAGGGAGAATGCCCGATGTTCTGGGAACAAATCTTTCCTTTCCCTTAAAAAAAAAAAAAAAAAGCCAAACCCTGAATGTATCTCCATCACAGAAGCAGGGATGAGAAGAGAGCAAAATTCTGGCACTCACTTATTCATCAAATATTCAGTGAACATTCAGGATATTCTAGTCACTGTTCCAGGCACTGAGGACACCCCTGCAGGGTGCTTATATCCTGAGGGGGCAGGAGTAGATTATACATAAATAAATGCCGGCAACACATGATGTTTGATGATAAGTCACGAAGAAAAACAAAGAAAGTAAGGTTCTGGAAGCTCTGAGGAGGGAGCTAATTTGGAAAGGATCGGCGGGTGTTTCTTGGAGGAGGTGACATTTGGGCAGAGTCCTCAATGATGTGAGAGTGAGAGTCTCCTGCCAATGTGGGAGGAAGGGAGTGTGCTGGAAAGAGGGGACACCAAGACACAAGTCCCCAGATTGTCCCAGGGACAGTGAAGGGTACAGCTGTGGGCAGGGGCCACATCCCAAGGTGCCTTGCAGGCCATCTTAGAATGAACATCCCTTCAAGTGTGATGCTAAGCCTTGGGGGGTTCTTGGGCAGGGAAAAGGCTCAATTCTTTTGTGGTAGTTTTTTACTGTTAAATGTTCTAGGTGATAGCTATTATGTTTTATAAAACAGGGCCTTAACCTTTAGAGATACCTACTGACATAAAATGGTCCGATGTCTGGGATCTGTTTCCCACTGATCTGGGGCAGGAAAGGTAGGGTGAGCAGGTAAGGCTGAAAGGGCTCACCAGACCTGACCATAGTGAATTTCTGTTGAGATAGAACATGGGTGCATGGAACCCATTACGCTACTCTTTCTACTTCTGTATATGTTCAAAATATTCTGTAGCAAAACTTCAAAAAAAAATCATTAAGTAAATGTGACTTAGGCTAAATGGTGACAACAGGCTGTGGGTATAAGAGCAGAGGTGGGGAAGCCAACAGGGTATTCGGAAAAGAGAGATGTGCCCAAAGACAATGGAGGTGACTAATATTAATCTCAAACCCCAAAGACTACTCCCCGCTCCCGGGAAAGCAGTCTTTGTTTTCCAAATAAAACCGGATCACACTTTACATATGGATCCATAACCTTTTTTCATTTAGCGTTATTTTGATAACTTTCCCTTTTTCCCATGACATCATTTTTAAATGCTCTAAAATATTCTGGAGTATGAGCACAATTTAATTTATGGTGGGACACTGAAGTTGTTTCCAATTTTTCACTCTTACGAACATCACTGCACTATACACCCTTGTCAATACATCATTGCTAGTCTCCCAGGTTGAACTCTTTGTCAAAGGGTTTGCACATATTAAAGTCATTTGCTTGATTTGGCCAGGTTGCCCTCCGGGGTGATGGTGGGGAGCACACGCCACGAACAAGGGAGGAGTGGGCCTGTTTCTGCACAACGTGCTGACACTGGGCAAGAGCCCTGTCATTGTCAGGGCCAGTTTTGTGATGTTTTAGGCAGCCTTGGTCTACTCCTCTGTCTGACCGGGCGAATGGCGGCCCTCTGCCCTCTACTCTGGGGGCCCCCATGAAGCAGAACGCAAGAGATATTTAATAAACATTCAAGGTGGTGATGTAGGGAGCCTGGGAAAGCCCATCAGCTTTTAGGGGAGCAAAAGCAGCCTTCAATTCATATTCTTCCCAACAGGGCTCCTGGGAGTGGGTGCAGAGGTCTGCCGGAAACCTGTGCTGGGCCTGGACAGAGGCTGGACAGTGGAGCTACCCTGGAGGGGCCATGGTGTCCAGACAGACTTTCCTCCAAGAACCTCCCCTTCAGGTAGTTTTCTCTAGTATTTACTTTCATTTTCTAGGGTTAAGCCCAGCTTTGCCTTCAATCTATGGCACATCCCTTGAAGTCTTGATCAACAAGGCGGATCGGGGGAGGCCTGTGTCATATCAACATTGGTGGGAGTTCTTGCTCTGTGTTTAGCCAGTTGGTAGACTAAGATTGTGACAGTCCATTGTCACATTGTCACAACATGCCTTCCTTCCTGGGGTCGGTCTGGGAACTGGGTCCCCTGGGGTGGCCACCAGTGAGGGCAGAAAAAGACCACCAGCAAGCTCCTCCAAAATCGCTACCATAGGGAGCAGGGTTGCGGGGGACAGCTAAAAGCCACAGTGAGTACAGTGAGCCTGTAGAAAGAATGAGAAGCCTCTTCTGATCCAGTCTGGAATGATTGCCAAAACATACCTTGACATGAGAAGAAAGGTAGGGAGCACTTGGACACATTTTCAGCACATACTCCTTGGTGCCTTTTGAACTCTGTTCCATTTACAAACTTTATATATTTAGAGAAAGAAATACAATAAAATATCTAAGTGAATGAATAAATAACACCCATCCAGATGGTGAACCTCTTTCCTGGCGAAGCTCTTGGCAGGAGCTGTCACCTGATTGACATGTCTGTCTGAAAGTGAGGTAAAGCTGTTCATTTTACCCATTCCTGGCATTTAAGGGGCACTAACCAAGGGCCCAGAGCTACAAAGAGACCCCGTAATGGACACTGATTCCTGGAATCAAATCTTCATGATGTTAACAGATGAATGACATCGTAAGTTTAGGTTATGATGAAGGTAAGACATAAAAATTGGTGTTGGGTCCACTGGTTCTTTGGGTGTGGAAAAATAAAAATTAATCCCTGTCTCACACCTACAAAAAACAGAGTCCAGGTGGGATCAAGAGCCAATAGAAACGGAATTATATCAGTACTGAAAGATACACAACACAATATTTTTATGGGTCTTAGGGTGGTTCAGAAGGCCTTCCTATTCAAGATAGAAAGATTCTATCACAATCAGCTGTCTGTGCTATCCAACCAACTTTTCTATAAATCTAAATCTAGTAAAAAAAAAAAATGTTTCTTAAAAAAAGTTAAAAAAAAACCCCAAACCCTGATCAGGGTGGTTCAGTTGGTTGAGCATCGTCCTGCAAAGCAAAAGTTTGCTGGGTTGATTTCCAGTCAGGGCACATGCCTGGCCTGGTACCCAGCTGGGGCGTGTGCAAGAGGCAACCAATCGATGTTTCTCTCACACATTGATGTTTCTCTCCCTTTATTTCTCTCTCCCCTCCCCTCTCTAAAAATAAGTAAATAAAATCTTTAAAAGAAAGTAAAATAATTTAGTTCACTGGAAGATAATCATACACAAAGATTTAAAAAGGACAATTTACAGCCTTCGGAGAAAGTACAGTGTGTCTGAAACATATATAATAAGCAATACATTAATCAATATAATAAGATAAATGACAAGAGAGAAAAATGGGCAAGAAATAGCAATGGTAATTTACAATATGAGAAACCAAAAGTCCAATAAACATATGAGAAGATTCTCAATTTCACTGCAATCAGGGAAATAAAAATTAGAATCGCAGAATGCCATCTTTTACTTACCAGATTCACTAAAACCCCTGAAAACAAAACTGAGGACACACAGTATTAAGGACAATGTGGAGGAACAGGTGTTTTCATGTGTATTTGGCGGTATTAATAATTGGCACAGCTATTTTTGGAGGCCAAATTTAAACATGCATACTTTAGGACTGCAATTTTGCCTCAAGAAACTTATCCTGTGGAGATGTCTGCATAAACGTGTAAAGCTGGTACACATCGATACTCCCTGGACGAATGCCCAGAGTGAGGGGTCTGACTGCACGTGCACTAGGAACACTGCAGCTGTGGAGAAGAATGCAGTTCATCGTGTGCATGCCTGTGCCTGTACACATGTATATGTGTGCAGCTCAGTTCTTTCAAATATAGAACAAACACTTCCCTTACAGGACTGTAGAGAGGCCTCCTCTACTTCAACCAGATTCATAGGAAAGAGACTGAGCCCCCATCTCAGGACTGGACTTGGTCTCAGGAGGATCAAACCTGGCTGGGCCCTGGGGACAGGAGGCTGAATAAAACTCCACGCTGCTCCCAGCAGCCACCCTGGGGAATGAGCTACAGGGAGCCAGCCCCAGGGGAGGCACCTGTGAAGGCTGGGGGTCTTCCTGAAGTGGGCTCCAGGACAGGCCTGGTTGCAAGGGTGGGAAGGGGTGTCACTTTAGGTGGGAGGAGCTGCAAATGGACCAGTCAGGAGAGGAGAGGAGAGGAGAGGAGAGGAGAGGAGAGGAGCTGGAGAGTGGTTGGCTCAGGAAAGGGCAATAAACCCCCTGAGTCTGTGGCCTACAGTAGGAGAGGAAAGGAGGAGAGAAGAGACAGAAGCCAGGTCTAGCAGGTGGATCTTATCTCTCCATGGGCTGAATTTGTTCACCTTAGTCAACAGTGTGCCAGGCACTGTTCTAGATGGGGGCGATGTGCCAGTGACCCAGATAAGGGACCTGCTCTCCTGGAAGTACGTAACATGGAGAAGAGGCAAACATAAACAGGGAAACAAACAGTAAGATCGTTTTGGGCAGAGATTAGCGCTGTAGAAAATCAAACAGAATGATAAACTGAGAGTGTGGAAGGCAGTGGGAGGAGGGAGTGATCAAGGGACACAATGCATCAGAGGTCTGAATGACAAGAAGGAACCCCCCACCAAAGACTGGGGAGGGAGCAGCAAAAAAAGAGGGCGGGACCCCCACAGTCACAAGCTAATTGTGCAAGACAATTGTTTTGCTAATAAAACTGTAGTAAGAAAATTAGGCTTTTTTCATTTGTAATGAACTCATTAGTGAGTTGTATTTTTAGTTCTTTCCCAGGGTGTTACAGATTGTTGAGAGTGGAAGGTCTGTTGGGACTGATGGGGATGGTTCTGGATCCCCACATCCCACCTGTCACGGGGGGATGAGTATTAGAGGGAAGAGGCAGAGGTGCAGGAGCACCCACCTGCTCCGGGAGGTCACATCCAGGAAGAACTGCACAAGCGCCAGCAGGTTGTGGTGGTGATCCGACACCAAGCTCAGGGCACAGCACAGCTGCCGGAGCTGCGGGGACACCAGCACGACAGTGGGCAGGGAGGGATCACCTTCCACCTTGAGCTCTCCACCAGCCCACTTTGGGAGGGGAAGAGTGCCAGTCATGGAGGCCAGGGCAGGAGGGATGTTCCTTAGCATTCCAGTGACCTCAGGACCTGGGAGCAGCGCCGTCCGCAGGGCATGCTAAGGGTAATGCAGGCCGCATGGAGGAGGCTGGGCTGGGGCTGGGCCCAGGGGCTCAGTGTACCTTCCCTGGCCATTCCTGGATGTTCTCGAGGAGCAGGAGCAGGAGCTGCTGGAGGTCTGTCTTGGGCAGCAGGCGCAGCCCCACATCCAGGCCAGCTCTGCACAGCAGCTCAATGAGGTCCAAGAGGTTCCCATCAGTCATGGCCCCTGGCTGTGCTAGGGCACACAGTGTAAGAAACTGGAGAGCAGAGAGAGCACCAGGGCAGTGCGGCCTTCCTGGGAGACAGGGCAGGCAGGAGGGGTTGGCGCTGCGAGCCCCTTGGCCATGTTGGGTCAAGCTGAGATAAACAAGGAGCGAGGCCAGGGGCCAGGCCCAGTGGGGTCCTCAGGTGGCAGGTGATGGAATGGGGAGTGTGAGCATGCCAGGACATCGGTGCTGGCAGCCCATCTGGTGCCTGCAGTGATGCTTGATGGGAATCACCCGCGCCGAACTAACCTGTTGAATAGGTCTGGCCTGGGAGTGGAGACGGCCATTTGTCTCACCTTATAGATATAGCTCAGGCTGATGTCCAAGGCGGTCTCTTGGGGGGTGTCCTGCTGCTCGCCCTGGCTCAGGCTAGCCTCCGCTTTAGGCACTCTAAGGCAAGACAGAAACAGAGGGAAGGAAACGGGAGGAGTGGGCATCAGGAGAGAACTGAGGCAGAGAGGGGGCCGCACTTGCTCAAGAACACGGGGCTCAAAGGACGGTCTGCTCAGCTTGGACCCCGTGTGTGCTGGTTTGCACTGCTGCATAACAAATTACCGCCAACTGTAGAGGCTTAAAAACAACATGTATTATCTCACAAAGTCTCTGAGGGTCGGGAATCCAGGAACAACTCAGCTCAGTGGTTCTGGGCCAGGGTCTCTCAGGAAGTTGTCTCCAAGATGTTGGGGGGGGGGGCAGCGCTGCTGCTGTCTCAGGCTTGGCAGGGGGAGTCCCTCCCAAGCTCACGCCCACGGTCAATGGCCTCAGCTCCTGACCTCTCCATAGGGCTCCTCCACATGGCAGCCTGCTTCCCCTAAAGCAAGTGAGAATGCCTGGGACAGAAGCCGTAGCCTTTCACACCTAGCCTTGGACGTGACATCCCACGTCTGATGTTCACTCTTGGCTGTGCAGGCCAGCTTGACAGCTCCCATTTTGGTCAGGCGTCTAGCTGTTGTTTTCTGGGACTTTGGGGGTTACTCCATTGCCCTCAAAGAGTCTTCCTCAAAAGAGTTTGTCCATCCAGGTGTGGTGACTTCATGCTCTGAAAAGTACATTATGCGGTAGCTTCCAAAATCCGTATGGTAGGGGAAAATCAGAGCAAAAACAATCCTTGAAAACCCTCCAAAGGTGTCACACTAACACACCATCTGCTAGTAAGTCCAGAAGGTAGAGAGTTTCCTGAGTGAGGGAGCAGACCTGGTTGAGCCAAGACGAAGTTAGAGGCCAGGGTCATATTTAAAAAAACAAAAAGAAAAATGGAAAACAACCTCTTTAAAGACTAGAGTCACACTCAGGGTGGCACAATGCTTCAGAGAGAGCAGGGCCACACTGCCCTTCACACAAGTTTCCCAGGCACGTGCTCACTGGATAAGTGATTCTCTGCAGCCAAGAGTATGTTGTCAATTTTAAGTAAGTGAAGTGAGTTTATGACAAGGCTCCCTTTGTGTTTCACCCACTTTTCCACTCTTATTAACTACCCTGGAGTCCAGCTAGCAACAGGCTATCAACACATGAAGATACTGACGATGACAACACTGCTGACAGTAAATGGCCACTGCCACTCCCGCACACTCCAGGGCAAGGCCTCTGCTCTTCTTGACTCGGCACTGCGCTGCTTCTTGGAGGGAAGGAAGGAGAGAGATCCCTGTTTTGGCTCTAGGGAAGTTGATGTCAACAAACCAAAGCTGAGGGTGGCAGGCTAGGATTGGGTTCTGCTGTTCTTCCAGATCTTAGCATTTATTAGGGCCAGGGTAGAAGGTGAGGCTTGCATTTGCATCTGGGCATGCGCAGGTGGTGTCAGTATGATGGAAGTTGCAGCTGTAGCAGCCTGTGAGCACGCACAGGGTAGGCAAGCATGGGGGGAATGCTTTCAGATTTCCCAAAGGGTGGGGCTTCATGCCTCGGCTGGGAGCAGTGGGCTTTCAGACGGCTTGCTGATGCCTGGGAGAGTTGAGGTGCAGCCTTTGGGAGCTGGTGACGTCTTCTCGCAGTTGCGGAGGGGAAGTTTGGCTGTGACAGAGCCCTCTCATCTTTGGAAGGGAATGCCAGCACCCCCTGGAGAGAGGTGACAGCCTCCTGGAGTGTGTGCCAGCCAGCCAGCATTTCCCTGTGCTGCCTTTCCTGGGGAACAACAGACAATATAGAGGGTTCATCCATTCCCTACCCTTCTCGAGGACCCACTTGACTGAATCATGGAGTCTATGACTGCTATTCTGGGGCGCAGCATCAGCTGATCCCCAGGCCTCCACCACTGCTCACAGTGGGGGCCATCGGGCACAGGAGTTTGCAACCTAACAACCCCATTCCCTTCCTGCACTCAGCAAGGTTAAGAGCGAGCTGATCAGACTCCATGAACAAAGCAGTTTCGTCTGTGATGCCCCTTGGTCCCTGTCCTCAGCTGGCGAGGTCAGGGCTCCCAGCCCTGTGGGCAGCATCCAGGAGCTGGAGTTTGGGTCACGACGACACTGCTCTGCACTCACTGAGTAATCTTAAGAGGGCGCATCACTCAGTTTCCATATTTGTTTTTCCCAAGGGTTGAAAAAAAAAATACTCGTTACTATCTATATGGTGCTCTGACATCCTCAGCAGGAGGAGGGTGAGGAAGCGTGTGGGCACTGCCACCACCACGACCAAGCGACCAAGTGCTGCTCTGAAGGCCCTGCCGTCAGAGCCCCCGCCTGCAGGCTGCCAGCAGGGTGCTCTCTCCCTGTGCTCTGCGATGCCCAGCCAAGCCGGACCTGTCAGCTCTGCTCTACAGCAGCTGAGGAATCAATGCTAAGCTAATGGAGAGGGAGGGAAAGACAAACTTTACCTGGATAGAATTACACTGTCCCAAGGGCTCCAGTTACCAACAGCGTGCCCTTTCAATGGATTGTCATTTTTTCCCCTGTTTGGGCCCTGCATCAATTTAACCTTTCAGAGGACCAAGTGGAAGAAGGCTTCCAGCACTGGGCGACGGCAGCAGGCTCGCTGGTCTTTTGAGGCCAGTCCTGTGTAGCTGACCAGGCCTCTTCAGCTGGGCCTTGTAATCAGGAGCAGCCTTGGAGGACCAGCCATGGCTACCTGAGGCCCTCCCATCTCTTCCCAGGTGAGACTACGTAGCCATGTGGCACAGCCTCCTCTGAGGACGCTGGAGCTCTTGCTCAGTGTCCACACTCTGGCCCTCCTCCTCTGTTCCCTCCATCCCCGGTGGCCGCCTGACTTCACCATCCCAGCCTCATCCCTGGCAGAGGGCTACTCCTTTTGCAACAGGCGGATATATCAGACCATCCGCACATGTCTACTGCGGAAGGGCTGTGTCTTTCTGAAAGGAAATCTTGAAGCTCCCCATAAAATGGTGATGGGCTTTAAGGAAATCTGAGATTAAGAACAGATGGTGGAAGACCTGAATCTCTCATAGCAAACAGAAAGTCAGCCAAGTCATGGGGCCATGCGCAGAGACTGCTCAGCCCTTGTTTCCAGCCTTGGCCATTGTGAAGCACTGTGGGGGCCCTACAAGAGGTCCACCTGTTCTGCCAGGGGGACCACTAGATGGGGCATCCCTGGAAGTCGACAGAGAGGAGATGTGCCTGATGTGGACCTAGCTGGCATGAGACAAGCCTCCTGTGAGCCTGGTCAGGAACAAGTTGAGGAGGTTGGTGGGCAGAAGGCAGCCCGCCATGCACTTGCTCTTGTGGCCCATACACCCATGAGAGTCGTCACATCCTTGATGCAAGAGATGCTGGAAACTGGTTCCTGAACACCATAGAGGCGTCATCCTCCCACCTCTTGACTCTCAGAGCTTCCCCGATCACAGCAGCCAGCCAGCCAGGAAACAAACCTGAGCATCTTCGACACCCCCACCCCACTGAGGTCACAGGAGGGTGTCCAGCAGGAAAACATCCCCAGATCTAGTGGTTTGGCAGATGGTCCCACCCTGTCTTACAGTGTTGTGACAGGGGAATCACCCTGCAGTCATTGCCAGCTCCTTGGGGCCGGTTCTAAATCCTCTTGGGAAATGGCGTCAACAGCAAGCCCAAGGTATGGGGCCCGAGGAAAGGGACAGAGTTGTCTCCAAGCAGCTCTGGTGGCGCTCTGGGCCTGGGCCTGACCTGCGGCCAATGTGGCTCTGCCCGCCTCCTGCACGGGGCTAACTGCCCCTGGTAAAGCTGGAAGTCTACATGCTGGGGTTTGTGTTCCCAGGTATTTGAAATGACATGTTTAAAGGACCCCCATTGCAATGCCCACCTGCCTGCCTCTTGCAGCTTCCAAAAAAGGTGGATTTGTCCTGAAGCCAAAGTGGCAGGAAGCCACAGAGGAGGGAGGGGAGAGAGAAGTGGCTCTTTGTGGAGTACTTCGTGAACTGAGTGGTTTTAAGTCTCCAGAGCCACCTCCCAGTTTCCAAGTGGACACCAAGTGCTCATCAGAACAGTTAGAAGAGGCTCTTCTGAACCCCACAGCACCCCACCCCACTTCCGATATGCATTTGTTTTCTGAATATAATTCTTTCCTGACTCATCGTAGATGGTGGTGTGATTGCAGCTCTGTGTTCGGGGAGGGGAAAGTAGTTTATTACACCAGATTCGGAACTCCAAGAGGTGGGGAGGGCTGGAGCATGTGAGGCATTTATAGCACAGCGAGTGTGGTTTGGTTTGGCAGACAATTAATAAACACAGTCGTGGAGCAGGTTCTTTAGAAAGCTCAGCCCTTCCCCCCAGATGAACATCTACCTACCACAGCAAAGGAAGGGGGCTCGGGACCTTCTGGGATGAGGGACTGTCTGCAGGATGGGGGGATTCCCATGTAATAACCCGTTCAAGATTCTAAATGCTCTGTTGTATCTCAAACCAACTTCTGAAAGAATTCTCAAGAAAGAGTTTAGATGTGCTATAGCTTACAGAACAAGCTAACGATAGGTAAGGCGTTTACAACCCAGATCTAGTCACCATCCACCCAACAGCCATCATTGATGTATTGTTGTATGGCTTTGTTCCTAGAGGGCAGGATCCATGCTTATGAAAATTAGCATCACTGAACCCACTCAGCCCAGTGCACAAAGAGTACACCCACAAAATAGAATCGAGCATTGTGGAAATCACATGTACAACTATGGCCATGAGTTGATATTAGGTGTGAGCCAGACAAGAGGTCTGGAGATGGACTGAAAAGATTGGGACATATCTTGGAAGAGACAAGTCAGAGCAAGGGCTCTGAGTCAGGAAGGGACAGGAAGATGTCAACCAAAGCACTAAGATGCACCATGCCTGGTTTTTTCTGTACCCCTAGGTCTGGGAGCCTGGTAGTTCACATGCTTAAGATTCTTGGGTGCTCATGCGGAGTTGTTCTATAATTCCTTCAGACTCTGGGCTTCACCACGTGGGTTACAGCAAATTTAGTAACTTTTTTTACTTAAAAAAATGCTTAAGTATGTTCCCTCTATTCCCACTTTGCTGAGAGTTTTTTTTTCTTTTATCATAAATGGGGTGCTGGATTTTATCAAATGCTTTTTCTGCATTTATTGATATGATCATGTGGTTTTTATCCTTCTTTTTGTTTATGTGATGTATCACATTTATTGATTTTTGAATGTTGTACCAACCTTGCATTTCTGGAATAAATCCCACTTCATCATGGTGTATGATCTTTTTGATGTATTGCTGTATTAAGTTTGCTAATATTTTGTTGAGGATTTTACCATTTATGTACATCAGTGATATTGGCCTATACTGTTCTTTTTTTGTGGTGTCTTCATCTGGTTTTGGGATTAGGATAATGCTGGCCTTGTAAAGTAAGCTTGGGAGTCTTCTCTCCTTTCGAATTTTTTTAATAGTTTGAGGAGGAGAGGCGTTAGTTCTTCTCAGAAAGTTTGATAAAATTCACGTGTGAAGCCATCTGGTCCAGGGCTTTTGTTTATTGGGAATATTTTTATTATATTACTTCCATTTCACTAGGTATAATCTGTCTATTCAGATTCTCTGATTCTTCTTGATTTAGTTTTGGAAGATTGTATGTTTCTAGGAATTTATCTATTTCATCCAAGTTGTCCAATTTGTTGGCATACAGTTGTTCATAATATTTTTTTACAATCCTTTGTATTTTTTTGGTGTTAGTTGTTCTTTCTCCTCTTTCATGCCTGACTTTATTTATTTGCATTCTCTCTCTTTTTTTCTTGTTGAGTCTGATTAAAAGATTTGTCAATCATATCTATCTTTTCAAAGAACCAGCTCTTGGATTCATCATTTGTATAATTTTTTTTCCAGACTCTATTTCATTTATTTCTGCTCTGATCTTTATTATTTCCTTCCTTCTATTCACTTTGGGCTTTGTTTGTTGTTGTTGTTTTTTTCAAATTCCTTTAAGTGTAAAATTAAATTGTTTATTTGAGCTTTTAATGGAACTGCCTTATGACCCAGCAATTCCACTTCTGGGAATTTATTCAAAGAAACCTGAAACACTAATTTGAAAGAACATAAACACCCATATGTTCATTGCAGCACTATTTACAATCAGCAAGGTCTGGAAGCAGCCCAAGTGTCCATCAGTAGATGAGTGGATAAAACAACTATGGTACATATACACAATGGAATACTACTCAGCTGTAAAAAGGAAGAAAATTTTACACTTTGCAACAGCATGGATAGGTCTGGAGAACATCATGCTAGGTGAAATAAGCCAGTCAGAAAAAGACAAATATCATATGATATTTTTCACTCATATGAACAAACTGAACTAACAAGCCAAATAGGCAGACTCAGAGAGAGCAGGTTGACAACTCTGTGGGGAGTTAGGGTGTGGAGGGATTGAGCAAAAAGGAAAAAGGACTCATGGTCACGGACAACAGTGTGATGACTGCAGGGTAGGGAGGGAAGGGGGGTATAAGGAGGATAAATGGTAATGGAAAAAAATGCAATAAAAATTTTGTCAAGCTGGGGGGAAAATGTATATAATTTTATCTAAAAATTGGAGGAAATCTTTCTTTTTATAACTTATAATTGCTCACTGAGCTAAGGAAATATATATTTCACAAATAATTAAATAGATAGCTCTGTGCAATGAGTGGCCAGCTGTATTACATTTATAGAATAGGAAATACTTTAAATTAATATTTCCCAGCATGAATATATTTTTAAAAGAATCTTTCTTTTGGGCGGGGGGAAGTCACACTTTGTTTTGTTTCTTAACATTTGCACTGAGGTATAATAGGATGGAAAAACCTGCCCCTATTTAACATATATATATAGACAAGCCTGAACTGCGTCTGGTACCTGGTGAACAAACGAGAGAGGATGTGAGGAAGGGGACATACTCACCTCTCACTGTGCTGAGAAGGCCCCAGCGGGTACAAAGCAGGGCTGTGGGCACCCAGACTGTGAAATACCTCCACGATCTCTTGCAGCGAGGGACACCACATGTACACGTCTTCATCTGTCAGGCCAAAGGAAGGCAAGGGTTAGAGTGGACAGAGGAAGAGAGGGCACGCTACTCTCACAAAAGGGGTTGGGCGAGACAACCCTGGCCAAAGGGGACCCGTTTCTGCATTTTCTGGCACAGGTATCAACTGGAGAAACAAAGCGCTCAGTGGTTTTCAGACAGTCACTGGAGCTTTGGGAACCTAGACTTTCATTCCCTGATCTTCAAGCTATAGCCACCTTGATGTGCAAGGGCCCGGGGTGAAGGCGCCCTGACCACCTCTGTCAGGCAGCCACCAGGGCACTGAGATGCTCGGAGCTAAGCCAGATGACGAGCCCTGGACCAGAGGCCTCAAAACTGCGGGACTCGGAAGACACCTGTCTCAGTGCCTCAGGCTCCCTGTCACAGAGGACCATTGTCCTTGCTGTGACATATAGGTTTCCCAGGCCCACCATCTCTGCCGGTGTCTTCTCAGCAGGCTTGGGCTATGAGCACCATCTCCTCCTGACCAGTTTAGAAAACATGAGTGAGAATCTGACCACATCAACAAAGGGGAAAACCTTTAACACTCAGAGCCTTTGCTTTTGTCAGACTGCTTAAGGACAATTTCAGAAAAGGAAACCAGAAAAATAAAAATTGCGTGGCTAGGCATGTTTCCTAAAGGTGAAATGCTACGATGTTCTCTCTGCACATGACACCTCCATGCCCAATCAGAGACGCAGTGGAGGAAGCGGAAGGACAGAAGGAAGGAAGGCAGAGAATCCTAAACTAACCTGACGACGCAGTGCATGGCTAAGAGGGAAATTGAAAACAAGTCACAAGATAAGCTGACAGTGTCAGAACACAAATGTAGAATCTGACAACGAACGAAGTATTGGATCAAGAACCTGGAAGCTGGGCTGGGTGCATTAGCAGTGTATGTGCAAAGCTTGGTCATTGGGTGGATGGTGAGTGCCCCCTCCTAAGGGCCCACCTCCTGCAACCCATGTATGCAAGAATCATGCTAAGCATATAAAGGTGACTCAGTAGAGATTTTGACCTCAGGGATTCCAGTTTATGAGGGAGAGGGGCCAGGCAGGTAAATGAATACAAGAGTGCATTCATGCAAAACCCCAAGCAGGTGAAAAGTACAGAGCCTGCTCAGAGGCGAGAGAGGAAGGAACATGGCACAGGTAACTGGAAAGAAAGCACATGCCTTGCACAGGGACAGAAGTGACAAAGACAGAGAGGCACGTCCAGAGACCAAGGCAAGTAATCAAGCGGCCTAAACTCATTGTAAAGTCTTGGACACAGTCTAGTCTGGCTACAGAGCCAGTAGCCCGTGGAGTGGTGGGCAGAGGGTCTCTGAGTCCCATCCAAGGACATTGCTTCGGTGGCATCGAGTGTCTTTTTTGAAATGTATATGGGTCCGTGCTCACCCAACAAGTAATTAGATTCTTGGAGGAGGAAAAACTTTCCTTGTTTGTTTTTTTTTCCTCTCGGGCAACTTAACAAGAGAATGGTAATGATACCCCTTGCCTGCTTCACAAATGAGCTGGAAGAATGAAGTCTGCAAAATAGAATGCGACTCCACAGGAGAGAGAGCTGTTTACTAGGGCCCTTGGGGACGGTGCTCGTAGGAGCACGCACGTGTGGGTGGCCGGTGAACTTTCTAGGGAGGGGAAGACAAGTATGGAAAGAGAATCAAGCCAGGGTGAGGCTGTGGGAGGCCCAGCTGGGCCGGAACATCCTGCCAACGGTGTCAGACCCCAGAGGGTGCTGTGCGGGGCCCACACAGGTGCTTCTGCTGCTCTAAACCCCCGACAGCAGCAGCACTGGCCCTGCCAGCCTCAAGCCTGGAGCCTGGCACTGTCCCCTGTCCCTACTCCTACCCAGTAGCTACTCCACAGTGCAGCTTCACCCAGACTGATGTGTCAGAAGCAGTTTCAGAGAAAGGAGCCTGGGGTGCCTTGGGATAAATCAGTCCTCTTTACAGCCCCAGAAGTTGGCTAAGTGACGACAGGCACCAGAGAGCCCATAATTAACGCTGCGCCCATAAGTAGGCCATACGCTCAGCTTTTCCTGAGCACTGTTTGTCCCGAGTGAGGGTTTTCTGGAGAGCTGACACAGAAGTTAACTCAGGCACAGAGCTGCCAGCTCCATCTCCCTCAGATTCTTCACGCCCACAGCAGTCATCTGAGGTGAGTCCCCAGGGGACCGACTGGCCTGGGCTGCCTTTGCTGCCAGTGCTAACAGCCCACACAGCTGGGCTCTGGTTAGAGGCTGAGGGTCTGGAAGCGTCCCTTTGGTGGCTCTCCTGGGATGGAACCAGTGCTTCGGAGGAAGGCAGAAGAAAAGAATCAGGCCTCAAATAAAAGTGACTTTTCCATCTGTGCCTGAGGAGAAGCTGTTAGTTCACATAACGCCACTTTCTCCTGGCATTGTTACGAATGGAATGGGAAAAACACACACATCCCAAGAACCTCCTGGGGCGGGGTTCTACTGCAACAGTGATGGGGGGGCAGAGGGGGAGGGGGCTGTTTCTAAAGGCAATGGAGCTACCAATCCATCAGACAGAGCTCCAATCCTGAGTGTGGGGCTTTCCACCTCCAGGGGAGGCTTGGAAACCTACTGTCTTATCCTCCCAACTCTAATTACTTAACTTCCTTCAGCATTTTCCTATTTAAATTTAAACTTGTTTCAACATTACTGATTTAGCTTTAGTCATTTAAAGGTTTTATTCACTAAACAAACAGTAAGTGAACACCAGTCACTGTTCTAAATGCTAGGGGCCTAGTGATGAATGAGGAGCAAGAGAGAGAAGTCCTGGTCTCACGGAGCTAATGAATCGGTGGGGAGTCAGACAGTACACATGACAAATAAATATACAAATGATGCTGGGTGCTAAAATGGCACAGGAGAAAGGTGGCCAGGGTGGCAGGGGGGCAATGTCACAGAGAGAACGAAGAGCCTGCAGGGACCTGAGGCCAGAGCACAGATCCTCCCTTCAGGTCCAGCCAGGAGCCCAGGGTGCTAGGGTGGATGCCAGGCCGAGGGTGGGGGGCCCGGCTGCCTTGCAGACTACTGGTCACGGCGGGAGGGAGTGACGTTACCAAAGGGATCCTTTATGTGGCGAAACAGGCAACATCCTATCAAGTCCACATTTTAAAAGTGCACACATTTCATCAGCACAACTACAGTGACGGTCCCTCTCACAGCAGAGAGCTGGCGTCTAGTAGGACCTTGACAAGCTCTGACCTACTCCCTGCTCCTGGCCTCTTACCCCCATTGGCTCCTTCTCCAGACCTGCTCTATCCACCTTCTTTCGCAATCTCCTTTTTGTTTCTTGCCCACCGTGCAACGCACCCATGGGCTTCTTCATTTTCCCTTCTCTCCTCATTCCTTCTGAGACAAGGCCATCCCTTTGGTGCCCCCTCAGCCTCTCTGCCTGCCCGTGTAACCCAGCCTGCACTCACCTCCCATATATACCCATACACCCACCCACCACACACACAGCCTGCACACGCCCCATCCACACACACACAGCCTCCGTCAGCCCCGCGTCTGTTTATGCACGGGAGCCAGGGTGTGCACAGGGTAAGTGATGCCGTCCCCAGGCCACCTCTCTTCTCTTCTGCCTTCTGTAACTCACACTACTACCTGGTGTCACCTAACACAGTCGAGTACTCCAGGCGCTTGTGTGTAGGACAGACTTGCACTGTGCCAAACCAGTGAATCACTTGTATCAGCTAGATTTAGGTTCAGCTGCAAATAACAAAAATACCAAAAACAAAACAAAAAATGCACCTGGACTTAAATAAGCTAGATCTTAAGTCTCTTTGATAAAAAAGAAGTCCAGAGGTGGGTGGGCCACATGGGTGCAGGGACCTGACTGACGTGTAGGATCCTGGATGCCCACCTTCTGCTCTGCCAGTCTCAGTGCGTGCCTCTTCTTCTCAAGGTCACCTCACAGTCCAGAATGGCTGCGAGAAGCCCAGCTAGTATGTCTCAACCCCAGGCAATCACTTCCCTACTTTGCCAACTCGTTGTGCATGCTTGGGTTGCCGTTAAGGACATGGAGCCCACTCAGTGTGACTCAGGAAGGCACTATCAGAGCACCATCCCAAGTTTAGAAAGCGAGTTTGAGACATATTTGGACTCAACCAGAGAGCTTCCCAGTGATGTCCCTGAATGCATGGCCCACCAGGTTCTCTCTCGCTTTGGATTTCTGAACCTGAGACTTTGGAATATTCTTGATCTCTGGAATAAAATTAAAGAGAAGACATCGAAATGCTGGCAGGATGTGGAGCAACAGGACTTTTATTCATTGCTGGTGGGAATGCGAAATGGTACAGCCACTTGTAAACAGTTTGGCAGTTTCCTAACAAAACTACACACAGGCTCACCATATGATCCAGCAACTGCACTCCTTGGTATTTTCCCCAAAGGAGTTGAAAATGCATGCCCACACAAAAAGCTGCACACAGATGTTTATAGCAACTTTATTCATAGTTGTCAAAACTTAGAGGCAACCAAGATGTCCTTCAGTAGGTGAGAGATAAACACACTGTGTTTATACTCCAGACCATGGAGTATTATTGATCAGTACAAAGAAATAAGCTATCAGGCCATGAAAAGACACGGGAAAACCTCAAGCGCACATTACTAAGTGAAAGAAGCCTCTGAAAAGGCTATATACTGTATGGTTCCAACTAGATGACATCTGGAAAAGGCAAAACTATACAGACAGTAAGAGATCGGCGGTTGCAGGGGCTGGGGTGTGGGAGGGGGAACGGATTGGTGGGGCAGAGGGGATTTCTAGGGCAGTGAAACTGTTCTGTATGAGACTCTGGTGGTGGAGAGAGATCATCACACATTTATTAAAACACAGAATATACAACACAAAGAATGAATCCTAATTTACACAACAAACCGGTTAATAATGTTTCATGAATGGCTTATCAATCATCATAGAGCTACCACACTAATGTGAGACGTTACTAACAGGAGAAACTGTGTGTGTGTGTGTGGGACGG